CCCAGAGTTCCTCCATTGGATTTGGGTTAGTAAATTTTTGTGGCACTTCATCTTGCAAGATTGTCTATTGCGTGCAACATATTCTCCAGTTCAGAGACAATCAAATAAAATTATTAATTATCCTCAAAAAGGATCGCCACACACAGTAGATTGCCTAATCGGTGGCTGCTATTGCAACCTTGGTATCTTCCCATCTTTTTAACCTTTCCCTCCCTAGATCTCATTAGTAACTCTCTCTACTGTCTGTTCTACAATTCTTATGATGTTACTTAGGAGAATTTGATATCTGATCAAATACTGCATTAATCCCCTTACTGATATTCTCATCACCTGTCTTGATATTGTATTGGCATTGTCTGGAAAAATTCTGTCTTGGTCACTCGTGGTAGTGAAAGGTTTAAACTAAACTTGAATTCCTCACCCTTTAGTGCATTTTGTCTCTGGGTTATCCTTGAGATAAAATGGCAGGAACTTATCAAACTGCATGGGGGTCGGTCTTTCACCTTGCTGGCTTAAATTCAGGCACGGTTTGCACAAATCATCATCAACTACAAAAAGAAGAGGAACAGAAGTAAGAAATTTCACTAAGGTAAGACAATAACAGTGCTTGACACTAACGGGCAGCCAACTAGCCACAGACTAGTAGAAATTCAGTTTTGGCTACTGGTTTTTCGATTTCCATTTTCCAGTTTGGCTAGTAAACAAATGCAAAATGTTGTAACATCTGAGATGTCACTAGCCACTTGTCCAGTAAGTTCAAAAGTTAGTGTCGAGCCCTGCATTCAGAAAGACTGGTACTGCATATTTATAATAATATTATTTGCAAACTGATTTTTTTTGTCCAAGGTTGTAAGCATTCCTCTGAGCCACATTAATGTACACACAACATCCAAGCCTCACTTGGTTACAAAATCTGTCATTTGTAGCTCATTGACGCTTTTTTACAGGTAAAAAAAAGGTTAAGTTTGTACTCTAGCCAAATATACCATGCTGCCCTGGGTTATCTCAGTTTCTGCAGCATAAAGAAACTAAGAGTATTAATACTCTTTCCTGGATGGGTTGCTCATTAGTTTGATCAATTCAAAGCTTCAACATGCCCTTCCCGCTCCTCTGACAGCCCATGGGCAATTGACATCTGCACTAGGGAGTGCCCCAGGGGCTGGGAATTTGAACCTTGCTGGGATGGGGTGAGGAATGTTATTTAAACTGGTAGTGTCAAGTCTTTCCAGGAGAATACAGGTGTTCTTTATAATAATAAAAATAATATTAATAATTATTATTATTATTATTATAATAATAATAGTTTAATATTTGTAGTGCGCAAATTCCATTTACATATGATCAAATGTGCATTTACTTTAATATGGAGGTGTTAAATTGAACAAACCAACCAGATGTCTGCAATAATGTAAGCACTCACCTGTTGCATTACAGAAGACAAACGGTACCACAGGTGTAGTTTCATTGTAGCAGATGACAGCAGGTGCTGGAGTTGTTGTATTAGTTGAGTTATGTGGCATTAATGTTGTATGGAAACACGTCTCATTAACTTTGTACTTTATACGACAACATGAGTTCTCCCTGCTAGGTTCAAGCCACCTAAAATAGTCATCTAACCAAGAAGATGCCGACATAGCTATCTTGGATCTGGTGGAATAAAAAAAAAAGTGTATCGCAACTGATTCCTCTATGAATATACTATGAAACTCAGAAAATTCATATCTGTAGGGAAAAAAAAAAAAATTTAAGTCTGATGATGTCCTGGCCTGGAAAGCAAGCCAATTAGGTGAGCATAATGTTAAATGCATACAGTTACAATAATTGGTGAAACACATAATCCACAGAAATGAGTAAACACTGCCCATATTTGCAAAGGAGCTAACCCCACAGTTCACCATTTCAACTGTATCCTGGTTGTGGTCAACCCAATGGCAGACTATGAGAAATCTAAAGGAACTTACTCCTCAGGTATCAGTGAAGCACTGTAGATTTGTTGCACTAAAGAAAAGGACTCGCAGCCTGCTGAGCCACATATCTTGTTTTGTCCTAAAGGGTGTTCATAATCATAGCCTCCATTCACCACAAAATACACAGGTGGACCAACATGTAGATATTGTTTCATGTCCCTGAACCAGTTCAGAAGGTAAGAATCCTGTGCAGGAAAAGAAACAAACAAACAGTCATGTTAACCCTTAAAATTTCAAGATCTGATGTAAACTCTCCTCTCTAGCTGCAGCTACACATTTCCTTTTAACCCTTCAACTTCCAGGATCCAATTGTTAATTCTCTCCCCTAGCTGCTACACATTTCCTCATAAATAAGTTACAAGAATTTTGTGTTAGAACTCCAATTTGAGTCAGTCCCCAAAAAAAGAAGCTTGAGTTCACTCTCGGTTATTAACCCATAATATTATCACACGACTCGGGCAGTCAGAGGGCCAATAACTAAAATCAAAATGCTCTATTGCCGGTCAATATTCTGTCAGTATTGGACTGGGCACTGTCCCAAATGGTCCCAAATGATACCGCACTTGTGTCCCTTTGAACTTCAGTCGTAAAATAAATCTCTTATTAATCAAGCTTGCTCGGGACCGTACTGGAAGAATATCTGCCCTCGGTCTTTTTGTACGGACCGAGCGCAGGAAGGTCCATACTGTCAAGACCTCGGGCCGATATTCTCCCAGTACGGCCCTCGCGCTTGGTTAATAACACATATTAAACATACAATCAGTTTTCATCACCTTAGGCAGTGCTAGTTCTTGATCAAGGCCAATGTGTATGTGAGGGATAGTAGCAATGCTTGAAAACAGAAGGCCAGTGAAGAGGACAATCTAAATAAACAAATAATGAAAACAAAACAAAAATGGTGTAACATGAAGGTCACATTGACATGGTGCAAGCATCAGTCAGACGCAATAGGTACGGTACTGACAGAGGAAAAGAAAGTACAGGAAAAAACATGCACCTTTGGTGAGACACCAAGGAGATTGGGAAAAATTTTAAGGCACCTCCTTTCCAGGCCCAGTTGTATGAAGGGTGATTAACACTGTCCAACAGATAATTGCTATCTGGCAGATAAGTGATAACAAAACGTACAGCATTCTCCACAGGATACAGTTTTATCTAGTAGACAGTTGTAAACAGTTGTATCTAGTGTTTTCCAACCTTCAAACAACTGGGGCCTTGGCTCCTTTCTTGGCCCCTGTTTCTTAAAAAAAAGGTCCCCTAAATTGAAGAAGGGGACCCACCGGATTAGCTTTCACCAATTTCAAACAAAAAAAAAACCCTGCACTTAGTGAAAACTTTGAAAAAAAACTTTGAAAAAACAAAAACTATGAGAGCCCTACCACAGTAGGTCTTGAGTAGTCTGAAAGTAAACCTTCTGCAAAATAGTTCTTCATGAAAGTATAGACACAAATCATATGGTCTGATTCACTGCCATCTTTTGGTAGCTTGAGGCAGCACAAAACATCCAAGCGGTTGTTTTCTTGGCGTTTGGCATCTAGAGACATCAGGGCCACAAATGCTGTAACTTGGAGCAAGAAGTCAAAGAACACGGCTGCTGCTGCGTACAGGGAGAATATCCTTACTGCTGGCATAGTTGACATTGCGCCTGGGGAAAAAATTCAAAGCAAACTTAACCAGACCCTGAAATGTTGGCCTGTCAGAGCACAACTCCTTGCTGTAATTCACACTACAAAGACAAGCTGCCTGTGGGAAAGCTGGCGTGTGAAATCTAAGCAACAAAGATGAATAACTAGATAAAAAAGACAATCTTCCACAACATAAATACAAAGTGGCTGCACCCCGAAGTTTTGAAGCTGTCGCAACTTATCTGAGCATAATTATACTAGAACCTATCCTTGACGATAGTAATCCATGCCACAAGCACTCTCTTCACCAAATCCAAATCCAAATCCAAAATCCAGCCAAATCCAGACAAATCCAGCCAACCAGGAATAAATATAAAATTATACCTTGGATCATGACATTGCATGGTTTATATTTCATATAAGCCACACAAAAACTGTACAGTACAAGTAGAAGTTAACCCTTTAACCAGGAAGAGTCATTGGTTTCTAATATTTCCTAACAGTGTCATCCCTGAATCCAATGTAAAGGTCATGAGAATACTGCAAATGATTACCAAATTAAGAACCTACTGATTGCCAAACAAGTTCTCCTTGTTGATAACACAGGGCATATGAAAAGAACAGTGTGGAGAATACAAATGCTGATGTTAGGGTGTAAAAGGTTAATACCAGTACAAAAATTAATGTTAAGTTGTATTAAATGGTAAGGATCTTGTGCTTCTATGACGGCATGTGTCATCACTGGTGCAGTTTCACTTTATACCAGTTACACTCTACCTATGGACCACAACTGCTTACAAAGCACCGCCTCTAACTGATAACAATTTCAGATTTCACTCGCTTACTTGAGCTGTCTACACCCCTTTTATAGCCACAACCATCAGTGCCACAATCGGAAGCCATTAGAAAAAAAAATTGGATAAAACTCTCAATTAGTAGTGTATACTACAACACAAAAATCTTCAAAACATACTGTAAATGCTGAAAATATAAACATGTTTGACCTCAAGGTCATTGAGAATTGACAACAATTGATACTCACCTATTGCAAATGCAACAGACTCTGATAATGAGGTCAAAAGCATACTTGGCGCAACTTCACCCAAAACACGCCCAATTTTATGAGGCACATCTCCTTCTGCATGCTGCTCCTGGCGCTGATATGCCTGTACAAGAATGAAGATGTTGTCCACACCGACTGCTAACACAAGGAACGGCACCACTTCAATGATAATGAGGGTTGCAGGCTCACCAACAAAACTCCAAAAGCCAATTGAAGAAAGAACTGAGAATAACACTACCAAGATACCACTGAATCCAAGGGTAAATTTGGAGTCAATCTACGAAGAGAAAAAAATTGTGAAATTTAAGAGCGTCTCCGTAATTTCCGACCTCTTGAAATTGGTTCAAAAATAAATCTTGCCTTAAACTTCGCATGTGGATAAGGAAACCATTGTCTATCATTGGAGCAAAAGTGGTTTCCCTCAGATTTCAAAAGTTTTTTATTTTTTAACAATTCTCCGCACATAGGTCGAATCGTGAAATTGACATCATTTGTGTACACAAAATGAGCAATCTTTATTAGGATCTCACGCAGTCAAAAATGATTCAATACGCGAGATATTCTGAAATACAACAGTTTAATACATCAACTTTCCAAGTGTGATGACAACGGTAGAGTATCTTGATAAATGTATACACTGTCAGACAGAAAGCCAGATAGAAAGCTTCTTCTCTAGGCTGGCGTCCACTCGAAAATATTCAACACCTTCAGAAGAAGAGGAGGCAGTGGAAGTTGAATGGGAAGAATTCGAAGATGAAGTAGAGCTTCTAAACTCTATCCATGCGCACATTGGTTTGAAAGAAAAGAATGACACGGTGAATGTTACCCAATTTCTTTCAAATGACCGGCAAACTTGGAACAGTCTACAACTTGAATTCGGATGGAGCTGTGTATTTTAGGGGACACTGTTCTCACCATGGCTTTAAAGTTGGAAGATGGACAGGATTACAGTGCTAGTATACAAATACTCAGTGCCGCTGAATCGTCACTCAGAATGAATGATCTAAATTCCTACAGACTCGAACCCAGAAAGAAATCCTTGGAATCTTTGGACCTTCGGACAATAAAACCTGACTTACAGACATTCTACAGTATTAGTTAGTGCACTGAGCTGTTCATTTGCGATTATTAATTCTTGTGATTCATTGTGGATAATTACGAATGCAAATTACCGAAAGCAGCGCCGTACAGGTCTGTGAAAATCATACATTTCTACTTCACTTTATTTTTTCCTGCGATAATAGCCATGGATATTTTTACGTAATATAGTGCTCTCATGCACGGTTGTTGAGTATGTGTAACTCCTGATATCTAGTTTTGTCCCAGTACGGGGAAATCGCAATTTAAAAAGTACCACTTTTCGGCTTAGTCGAGTGGTGGCATATTTGATGCAACGACAGTGTATACATTTATCCAGATACTCTACCTTTGTGATCACACTTGGAAAGTTGATGTATTAAACTCTTGCATTCCAGAATATCTCTTGTATTGAATCATTTTTGACAGCGTGAGATCCTAATAAAGATTGCTCATTTTGTGTACACAAATGGTGTCAATTTCACGATTCAACCTACGTGCGGAAAATTGTTAAAACATAAAAAACTATTGAAATCTGAGGGAAACCACTTTTGTTCCGATGATAGGCAATGGCTTCCTTATCCACATGCAAAGTTTAAGGCAAGATTTATTTTTGACCCAATTTCGAGTGGTTGGAAATTATAGAGACATGCTCTTAAGACTCAAAAAAATTAAACTCACCATGGAAAAAAAATGTGCTGGTGGCTATAAGCCAGCAGTCACAAAAGGAGAGAACTCAAAACTGTGTTGAGTGCGAATGTCAAACTACTAGAATAATCTGAAAAAACCAACAATAAGTAGCATCAGGAAATATCTGGTCAAGATTGAGTCAAGATAAGAATTCTGTGATAAGTTACACTCACTCACTCTTGTTGACAACATGTGTGGCTTTGCCTCCTATGAGAGGCAGTAGCCACAAAAATTGAAACCACAGTAAAAAAATATTAATGTCTTAATTAACAACATAATTTATATGTATGTATTGACAAATACACAAACTTTTGACTGATCTTGCTAGTAATTAAGTTCTATTTTGTATTTTCAAACATCCAACAAAGTTAGTCTAAGACACTGGAAAAATATCAGCTTACCAAAATTCTGTCACAACTCTTGAACTGTCCTAGAGCTATGGTGATGTATGCAAACATGATCAAGTAGCTGGCCAGAATGGTAAAAATATCTGTGTCACTCTCACGGTCTAGCTCATCTTGAATGGCACGCTCAGCAGAGTAACTTATAGTAAGGTTTTTATTAGAGCTATTTTGNGGAAGTTTAAGCCATGATGAGTTTTCTGAGATGCATCTTCATCCCAATCCAGTGTTTTCTATTCCTTCTGATAATATTTATATGATCTGCATCACTGGAACTCAGTCAGGAAGAATGTTTCTGGGTGGAAAAGATGGCTGTGTTTATGAGATAGCTTATCAGGTTAGTTGACACTTTAATCCTCAAACAAGATTCAATAAGTGATTTTATTACACGACTCGGGCAGTCAGAGGGCCAATAACTAAAATCAACCAATCAAAATGCTCTATTGCCGGTCAATATTCTCTCAGTATTGGACCGGGCACCGTCCCGAATGATACTGCACTTGTGTCCCTTTGAACTTCAGTTGTATAATAAATCTCTTATTAACCAAGCTTGCTCGGGACCGTAGTGGAAGAATATCGGCCCTCTGTCTTTTTTGTAAGGACGGGCCATAATGTCAAGACCTCAGGTTGATATTCTCCCGGTATGGCCCTCGCGCTTGGTTTCAGGTTTTAGTCTTGCTGAAACTGACATAACACTGCATTCTTCAAGAGTAGTTACAACTTACCTTGTACAAATTATTATATGATCATGGAAATCAGCTGCCCTGAAGTCTGAAACATTTGGTGTACTACAGTTATAACCCATACTGGTTAAGCACTTGTTCAGCTTGGTTTTGCTGTTTTGAAAGTATTGAAAGACACTTTGAATGGTACAAACTTGGATTTGAGGGGCCAACGGCTGAAAGCAGATATCTTGCAACGTGATGTTTGTGTCTTCATAGGGAACTTTCATGTTGGTGATTTCATTCTGAAGGTCTAATGCCTGAAATTAAAAATGTTAGAATGTTTGTTATTAAAAGGATGGCATTAGGTGCTGAGAACAATCTGCTGCCTTTGCTACGACATCTGCAGACGGTGAGAAATTCTAGTTTTCCTAGATAAAGACGATACACTATGGGCCCTTTTTGCTGCATCTTTTCTGTACTAGCAGAGGAACTTGAAGATACCACACACTTCTTGCAAATAGGAAACATATGTAGTGTAGCTTGCAGTGTTACAGTCTGACCTTGTAATGGTTTATGCAGGCCCGCATTTAAGGAGGCTCAAAAGGATTTTTTGACCACGCAGAGAATTAATTCCAAGATACATACAAGCAAATTACTCATGAGAGAAATAAGTAATGGTGCACGCGATCATATCTGCGGGCAAGTTGTAAACAAACATGGGTGTCACAAGCATTTCAAAATTGCCTGGTACCTCTGCTGTTTCCAGGGGAAGTGGTTGTTTGAGAAACAAAAGTAGAAAGTTTACTTATTGAAAGCAAGTAGGAAAATGTTTGGATGACAGGACTCTTACCAAAATTGGTAAAAAAAAAAAAAAAAATTATTAATAGAGCTACAGGAGAATGGTGAAGTTAACATTGCATCAGCAAAGTCATGACAAGTGCACCTGATAAGTTCTAGTTTGTTCTGCAAAAAATTGAAGTGGATACCTCTGAGTGCTGCAATTTGTTTCTCAATGAGTTTGACTCCTAAGAAAATGAAATTACCGAGAACTTTCCTAAACAACTCACTAGAAAATGAAAGGGATAATGAAATCATTGTTGGATCTAGGATTGTAAATATTGACAGTTTTATTGTGAAGGAAATGGAGAAGTATAAATGTTGCCATAAAAATAAAGCTTAACAATTTTCAAGGAAACAAGAAATAGGAAAAAATGTGGATGAGGCTTCAATTCTAATTCAACCAGATGGTATAATTGAAATACAATATTCATCCTAAACATTTACTTGTGAGAAAGATTGTTGATATTTCTTCGATAAACTGAAACTTGCAACTAGGAAGAGAAAGTAAACTCACATTTGTTAAGAAAGGATTGCAAAACTTGTTTTGTTTTCCATTTAAAACAGAATAATGAAGGTTCACAGTTATGACAGTAGCAAAGAGAGAAAAAGAAAAATGAAGCCAAGGCTTTTTCATACCTCAAGTACCTCGAAAACTAGAAATTCATGAAATCTGTGACGAACAAATTGAGTGATGTCTTTGAAACTCTCTTTTCTGCTAAGTTTGATGCTCATGACGATCTTGAAGATGTCAAAGCAAATTCTTTCCCCTCCAAATTCTTTTCACTCCTCCACTTCAAATTGCACACAAACAATTATATCAGTCAATCACGGTAAATGTGAATTGCTAAATGAGACCTTTGATCAAGGCATCTTCTTGGAACAATGACAAGACATCAGCCAGACAATGGATGGAAAGTCTCATCTTTCAACAAGCATGGTCCTTAAGCCGGCAGATGATTCACTACAATCTCTGTGCAAGAAACTCAACATTGACAGCCTCTATGAGTACTGGCATTGGCACCAACTTAAAAAAATCAACTTTTCACCATAAATCGAATTCTCCAGGGGAATTGTCTCCAGAATACTCATACATTTAATTATAAAGTTAATTTTAATGAAACAGTAGTGTGTCAAAACATCATTCGAACATGAAACTGGAAACAAAAGAAATATATTGCACCTAACATCAAAGTGCTTGCGATTGTGCAAGCTAGTTACATTTTCGGAAATTGTTCGTGCGTTGAATAATGAATATTCAATTAGAAAAACAATAGAATGCATATATGAATACTAAATCAACCCACAAAATGTGGGTACGCACTTAAACTGCACTGAAGTTGTCATGGATTTTCTGTGTACAAATAAAATTCATCATTACCTGCTTGCGAAGAAAATTAAAAAAAAATTCTCCAGTGAAAATTTTGTAACAGCATTTTCCTAAATACATCGAGTTCTACTAGACAGTATTTTTAATATTGTGTACAGATACACAATGGGATGATGTTTAAGAAATTCGAAAAAAAAAAAAACCTGGGTAACCGACTTGGTTTTTGAGATATCTTTCAAAAACTGAGTCTTGAGAGGATCTTTAGGTCCTGCAGTTCTATTGCCACAACAACAGATAAGGCCTAACAAACACCTTTAAATAATTGTACTCAAATAGTTTTATACAGATGTCAAAACATTACCCTGATGATAAGTGTGACAGTCCTGATATCTTTTAAAATTTGGCACTTGCCATTACTTGTGGAAAATCCTTTTGAGCCTTCTTAATTCAACTTTAAAGCTGAACGGGGTCAGCCTGTATAAATATTGCAAATACAAACACAAATAAAACTGAAATATGTCTTCTTCATCCTTCAACTCTTAGAGTGACCAAGAATTCTTTCTCCCTAACCCTTTCCACCCTGACATCAGTATGCATATTCTCCATACCATTCTCTAAACATTTCCTTGGGTGCAGACAAGGAGAATTTGTTTGACAATCAAGAGCTTCTTTAGTTGGTGATTAATTACTCTACTCTCACAACCTTCATGTGTGATTCAGGACTGATATTGCAAGGTGAAATTAGATGCTAATCACTCTTTGGGGTCAGTGGCCATGATAAATGTTGTTGATAATTGTTGATGATAGTTTAAACTTTCATTCACTATCACTGACAATCATGTTTGCATTCAAACAGCTCATGATAATTGTTACTGCAGTGGTTGACAAAATCATGCAACGAGATTATGCAATTGTACATGAATATCGCACAACCTGAGGTCAGCAATTTCCATGGCATTTAGAATTTTGGTCAAGAAGTTGCGAGTTGAAAATTCTGAAACCTATTGATGGTGACTTTAGTTATTTCACTATTTGGCAAAACTGCTGACTGAAAAAAAATTTTGAACTATCATGTTGAATTTGAACATGTCCAAACTAAATGATGGTTGGTGATAGTGCATGAGAGTTTGTGTTCATACAAGCATGATAGTTGAAACTATGGCCACCCTTTGAACAGGGCTTTTCTTTAGATGACTTTGTCTTGGATCTACCAACAATTCTCCAATTGATTTACTCTTGTCACTTGTTTGCTTAATATTACACTCATCTTGTATGGAGAAAATCAGTTTTCGTCACTCATGGAGGTTAAAAGGTGAAGTCATTTTAGGGAGCCAATGTCCCTATTTTTCCTTTTCAAGGTAAACTGTATCGGGATACAGTAAAAAGAATTCTTACAGCACAACAACTCAAATTTCTAAGGTTACCTGATTTAACAAATCTAGGTGAAAGATTGGTCCAAAGGGAATCCATTTTTCATCTCCATAGCGATGATAGCCAGTGGGGACTGGATAGGACGAGTGGATAATAAGCTGCTCAGTGCGATAGAAAGGCTTAAACTTGGAATCAAAAAGGTCTTTCTCTTTACGCGCTGTACTGTCTGGAGCAGACCACAATTCTACAGGATCGGTAGTGACAGAGAAACGAACAAGTCCACTAGCAAGACTTCCAACGACAAGAAGACATCCCACCATGACAGAGAATGGGTGGGAGCTACACCATACACCCCATTTTGTGAACCACCGCATCAAAAATGACTCTAATTTGCTACCCAGCTGCTCACAACAACTAGGTCGAGAATCCCCTGTTTGTGGTAAGGAGCCTAATATTGTAGGGTAAGTGCCGTTGTACTGTTGAGGATGGTCAGGCACAGTGGCATAATCATTTCTTCTCATACACTTGAATACCAAGCTAACTATTAGGCATATCACCAAGAAACAATAGACCATGAGAAGGCTAAAGGAGAGAAGATCCAATCCAAGAATCTTGGTAGGGGGTACTTTCGGTGGTATGGTGGGGTGCACAGGGCAAGAGGGCTGACAATCTTGGCAGCTACAAAGGCTTGCTGTCCTGTTTGTTTGAGGGTCCACAAATGGCTGATTACACTTAAAAACAGTTTGGTTCATCCATGAAACGTTTGCAATCAGTTTTTCAGGAAAATCTATGGTGAATGGTGCAAATCCATNGTGTCACTCTCACGGTCTAGCTCATCTTGAATGGCACGCTCAGCAGAGTAACTTATAGTAAGGTTTTTATTAGAGCTATTTTGTGTGTAATTGTGCATGAACTCTAAGAAATGCTTTTCCCATGCCATTGCTTTGGATAGCTTGCTCTTGTCCTTGTAGTTGTTGACAACAAAGGTTATGATCAAGGCTGTAGCATTTTCGTACGCACCATCATGGAAGCCTCCTAACGCAATGTTGGGATTTACAGGTCCGCCATATGCACCCAGGCATGGTTCGTTCAACTTGCCATCTTCAGAGGTTGGTGCTCTGAAAAAGGTAAATATTGGCAATGTAAGAAAGAGTTTGTAGTTATTCATTATAGTCAATACAAAGAACAGTGATTTAAGGTGGCAACTGGAGGCTAATTTGGTGAGTTTTTAACAATTTTGCAAATAAAATATCTCATGAAAGATTCGTTGCAATGACTTCAAATTTTCCCATATGATATTTGATTCTTCATATAATCTGGGGAAAAAACTATTTTGCAAGGTGTCATGAAATTTGTGGAATTATAAGGAAATAAGGGGTCTGTCCAAAAGGCCATTTAGGAGAAAAATTTCTCTTTACCTGAGCCAATTTGATGCAACTCAAAACGGTTTGGCACATTCACAAAAGAAAATGATCATAAAAATTTTCCAGCATCGTGGTCCACCAAATAATATTTAATTTGAAAATTCTATCTCCAAAAAATGAAAAAAAAGTTAAGTTTGAGATTCAGTACCTACTCATTCAGTCAATTTGTGGCAGATCAGGTCCACTGGTGTGCAGGATGAACATTTAACAAAAAAAAAAGTATAAATGGGGAGGGGAGGGGAGGGGGGTAGTGTGAGAAATAAGGCCAGCAAAGTAGGAGAGAGAATTGTGCATAAATGTATAGCAATATTCCTACAAACATGATTCTCTAGTGCTGCTAATATTCCAAGGTTGTCATTCAAAGGCAGTAGGCAACAGAGCTATTGGACAAATTTTTGCTAGCAGAGGTGTTACAAAGTCAAACAGTATGCTCACTATACAGATATAATTCAATTCAGCCACCTACTCAGTTCAGATTGTACACTTATTCTAAGCACAACCTTACAACATCCTGTTAGTGGAACAGCTGCAACCCTGCACTCCGCTAGGGTAGTTACAACTTACCTTGTACAAACTAGTATATGATCATGGAAATCAGCTTTAAAGAAGTCCGTATTATTGGGAGTATCGCAGTTATGACCCATACTGGTTATGCACTTGTTCAGCTTGGTTAGGTTGTTTTGAAAATATTGAAAGACACTTTGAATGGTACAAACTTGGATCTGAGGGGCCAAAGGCTGAAAGCAGATATCTTGCAGCGTGATGTTTGAGTCTTCATAGGGAACTTTCATGTTGGTGATTTCATTCTGAAGCTCTAAAGCCTTAAAATATACATAAAAATGTTTGAATGTTTCAAAGTTAGAATTTCAAAGGACGGCACTAAATGCTTAGAAGAATCTGCTACCTTTGCCATGACATCTGCAATTGGTTATAAATTCTAGTCTTCTTAGAAAAAGATGATAAACTCAAGGTCCTGTTTGCTGCATCTTTTCTGTTAGCAAGGGACATTGAAGATACCACACACTTTGAACAAATAGTAGGGAACATACAGTGTACCTTGCACTGTTATTGACTTGCCTTGTCATGGTTTATACAGGCCCCCATTTAATTCAGCTTTAAAACTGAACAAATACAAATCTAAACCTGGAATAACTGATGTCTTTCTCCTTTAACTCTTATGAGTGGCCAAGCATTCTTTCTCTTAACCCTTTCCACCCTAACATCAGTACGCATATTCTCCATACTGTTCTCTATACATTTCCTTGGGTGCAGACAAGGAGAATTTGTTTAACAATCAACAGCTTGTTTAGGTGGTGATCAATTACTCAACTCTTATGACCTTCATATGTCTTTGAGGGGTGATAATGTTAGGAGAAATTAATTGCAAGTCACCCCTAGGCATCAGAGGGTTAAGAAATGAATGCAGCGTGATTTTAGGCCCTGTACAAATGGTCATGATAAATTTAGTTGATGATTATTGACGATAGTTTCAACTTTGAGTCACTATCATTGATCACAATTGTGTTCAAACAGTTCATGATAATTTCTGTGAAAGTGGTTGACAAAATTGTGCAATGAGATCATGCAATTGTACATGAATATGGCACAAGCTGAGGTCAGCAATTTCGGTTGCATTTTAAATTTTAGTCAAGAAGTTGGGAGTCGAAGATACTGAAACCTAATGATAGCGATTTTGGTTATTTCACCATTTGGCAAAACTGCTGACCAAAAAAAAAAATTAACTTTCATGTTGAATTTGAACATATCTGTATCCAAACTAAATGATGGCGTGAGAGTTTGTGTTCACACATGCATGTTAGTTGAAACTATGGTCACCCTTTGAACACGGCTTTTGTTTGGATGACTTCATCTTGAATCTACCAACAATTCCCCAATTGATTTACTCTTGTCATTTTGTTTGCTTAATATTATACTCGTCTTGTATGGAGAAAACCAGTTTTGGTCCCTCGTGGAGGTTAAAGGGTGAAGTCACTTCAGGAAGCAAATGTCCCTGTTTTTCCTTTTCATGGTAAACTGTATTAGGATACAGTAAAAAATATTGTACAGCACAACAACTCAAATTTCTAAGGTTACCTGATTTAACAAATCTAGGTGAAAGATTGGTCCAAAGGGAATCCACTTTTCATCTCCATAGCGATGATAGCCAGTGGTGACTAAATCTGCCGAGTGGATCATAAGCTGCTCCGTGCGATAGAAAGGCTTAAACTTGGAATCAAAAAGGTCTTTCTCTTCACGTGCTGTACTGTCTGGAGCAGACCACAATTCTACAGGGTCGGTAGTGACAGAGAAACAGACAAGTCCACTAGCAAGACTTCCAACGACGAGAAGACATCCCACCATGACAGAAAATGGGTGGGAGCTACACCATACACCCCATTTTGTGAACCACCGCATCAAAAATGACTCTAATTTGCTACCCAGCTGCTCACAACAACTAGGTCGAGAATCCCCTGTTTGTGGTAAGGAGCCTAATATTGGAGGGTAAGCACCGTTGTACTGTTGAGGATGGTCAGGCACAGTGGCATAATCATTTCTTCTCATACACTTGAATACCAAGCTAACTATTAGGCATATCACCAAGAAACAATAGACCATGAGAAGGCTAAAGGAGAGAAGATCCAATCCAAGAATCTTGGTAGGGGGTACTTTCGGTGGTATGGTGGGGTGCACAGGGCAAGAGGGCTGACAATCTTGGCAGCTACAAAGGCTTGCTGTCCTGTTTGTTTGAGGGTCCACAAATGGCTGATTACACTTAAAAACAGTTTGGTTCATCCATGAAACGTTTGCAATCAGTTTTTCAGGAAAATCTATGGTGAATGGTGCAAATCCATTCCCTGTGTTTCCCATGTATGCGAGAAGTTTATCTGGAGTGCACCGCTCGGCGGTAGTGCCACACATAAGACTCAAAACCTTCTCATTGTTTCCGGGAAAAGTGACGTCTTTGCAGGAGTCAAACAGGCCTTGTTTGAATTGAGGTGAAACAAAATAATCAACTGCTAAGACGATAGAATGTGGTTTGGATGGCAACACCTGAGTTGGATCCATAAAAAGCGATTGATCCTGACTGCAGGTCAGCTGACAGTACAGCCTTCTCATGTTGTTCCAACAGGCGGGACATCGGCTTGTAAGTTGTATCATTGTTTGCAAACTCTTATCCAACGCTTGCAGTTGTTTAGTTGAACAACAAGTAGGTTGGCCCTTCAATTCTGGGCATAAACTGTTCAATATCTGCACACCCTCGGGATTGGTCAAATTCTTGGCCGGTCCATTGTAAAGACAGTTCTTCGCCTTGGCTCCAGTTGTACATTGATCGTACCATACACAATAACCCTTAGTGTGATTCTTTACTATGTCACCATTTACCTGAAAGAAAACCAAAAAAGCTGAAGAAAACGCCATAAATATCTTAAGTATTGCTCAGCTAGTAAACCAAAGTTAGGTTGTAGTTTATAGAAGCTCTGATAAATTTCTGACACAAATTATTTTACCAGCATACGCCTCCAACATATTATTACGAAAGTCCTTCGCCCCATCAATCGCGGTTCTAGAACAGAACAATTTAACGTTCCAGTGATAATATTAACAATACCTGGTGATAGAAATGAAACCGAAATGTCGTTTAAGCAAAATCTTGGTTGCTTTAAGCGTTACGTTATGCAAGATCGTTCACAAAAATCGAGGCTTACCTGAACTGTGTACACCGTGAATAATAATAAGAACAGCACGTTCGAACAAACATATGTCCCCGTTCTGACCATTTTAAAGCAGTTTAACTCAAAATTTGACGAGTCTGGGTAATAGAGATATATTTCTCCGTTGTTTTCTCGTTTTATCGGCGACAACTCCTAAAGAGCTACGACAGTATTCTTGGGTCAAATGCGGTCGAAAAAGCAGCATCAGTGAAGTAAACCATCCATAAGGATGTTACGTTGATCAATCATGAGGATTCTCTTCGCTGATTGGTCAACGGTTCCTCAGGCCATGCCATCGTATTCATCTGATGACGCCGAGAAAGTCACGAGACTTTTCGTGTTCAGGCTTTGCGTTCCACGCAGTAGCCTGAAATCAAAATTAAAATAGAAATCTGGTAGTACCGAACGGTATTGTCGCGTGTCGGCCCAGCAAAACTTCTACAATCATCTGATCATGAACTCTAATCTCATCACTGAAGTTGTTTACGTTGCTTTCGCATGCGATTTCTAAGCGTAGGCCCGCCACATTTTGATAGGTTTGTGTCAGGGGAATGGGCTCCTGTTTGTGCTTAGTAAAGTTGTGGTGGTGAGAAATCGAAACAGTACGAAACTGAAATAGAAATTATTTTATATCAAATGAAAAATTTCATCGTCACAATACTCGATCAGCCTCAAACATATTTATCGATTTAAAAAGGACTAATTATGGGAAATTTTCATTGAAGTTTAGGGAAGCAAAAATGTGGAATGATTTACCTAAAGACCTGAAAGAATCAAAATCATATGCACAGTTTAAGAGATTTATGAAATTCTATCTCCAAAATCATAGTTAAATTCTATGCTAGAGATATAACTTCAAATCGTAATTTTATCAGCAAAGCAGCAATATATCTTACGTTCATGATGAAACCATCTGCTATAAGTTACAGATTTTATTAGATGGGGATCTTCTTATAAAAGCTCAGTAGAGATTGCTAAGATCTCCAGCCATAATATTATAGCTTATTTAAGCAGGCTTATAATTAAAGCGATGTAATGTAATGAAAAAGGTAAATAAACTGGATTTTCTAAAACTAAACATGACGATTTTTGCAACCAGAATTAATAACGTATGACATCGTAGCTTAGTTCAGTAGCGTCCAGCTAGTATCTCACGGTAGGCACGCGTTCGAATCCCGTTCGTGCCCCGTTTTTATTTTTTCGCTTTTTTACAACTTCTTAAATTACAGCTCATCTGCGAGGATCTTTGATGGATTATTTAAGTAATTTAGAAGAGATAGACAAAGATGCGTACACTTTTGTAACGGCCTTTCCTACCTCATCAACGTTCCCGTGTCTAAATTAAATGAAGTCAGTATTATATTTATGTATTACAAAATACATGGGTGAAAACGTTCTATGACCTAATGGCGTGGCATCATAGTACACTTTTGTCCTTTTTTATTATTATTAATTTTTTTTGGCTATCGCCAGCTCTGTACGAGACCAGTCAGGTGACTCGGATTGGGGCCAAAGGTCAATGAGTAGAAGTTGCTGGATCTTTGTTTGTTTTTTTCATACAATGAAACCAGCGAGACGTTCGACACGGGTTTATACGTGACGCGCGATGAAGACCAAAATTACAAAGTAACGCGTGAATTTTCTAGAGCGACGTGTACATGTTTTTTTTTTTTATTTTGACCGTTTGAATTCGTGACACGTGAAATACTGTTTAACGGTACACGTGACGCGAAAATGTTTCTGAAAAGGATCAGCACCCTGCCCCTCCCCCCCTGCGCCCTTTTCTGGAAGCAACTAGCCATCTTTCAAGAGCCCGATACAAATCATTCTCTTCGGAAGTCTCTCTTTAAATGTTTTACGAGGGAGTGGGAGGGGGGGTTGGGAGGTAGGTTTTTTAACACCCAAATCAGTCAGAGTTTCTTCTTTGCACAAAGGAGAGAAACCCTTCTTGACTGGAGGAAGAAGGGTTTTGCCACCGGCTAGATTTTTGCTATCAAGATTTGAGCAGCAAACAACTACATTTGCAACGCTTCAGAGGGGAGGGGGGAGGGTGGGGAGTGGATTTTGGACCGTTTAGGCCCCAACCACACGCAAATATTAAGTTCGTAGACACAACGTTTTTTTTCTGTAACGTTCGTATAGACCTTCAGTTCATAAGAAAACCACATAAGCGATCTCTGTAAAGACCCTGTAAACGGATATTTTCGAAAACGTCCGCTCAGAGCGGCGAGACCAACCTCGTTCCCAGGGCCTTTTCCCTTAGTTGGGAGTGGGGTCCCACCCCCAACTGAGAGAAAAAGCCCTGGGAACTAGGTCACGGTGAGGCACGGCTTGAGGTTAGAATAGGGGTTTTTAACAAATCCATTAAACAGGGAGGGTGTGGTGGGCTTAGAGGAGAGTAATTTTCGGTTCGTGTATGTCACCGAAAAAAAGTAAGATAGATTGCAGGAAAGCAATGATTTTGAATTCATACACTGAAAAAAAGTTAAATGCACTGATATATTTATTGAGTTACATAGCAATAACTAGTTTTCTTCAAAAGTTTAGATATATCTTAGAGCGAGTACTCTTTTCACTTACAGGGAAAGCATAAATGAGTTGGGGTATGGGCTGTCTAGAGCCGAGAGAAGACAAAGATGAAAAAATAAAAAAATAAAAAATAAAAAACGCTAGCTCGAATATCATGACTTTCTCTTATGTTCAAAATGGCGAACAGAAAATAGGAGGCCGTCTAAAAGCGAGGCTATGACGTAACCTAACCTAGTATACAGATCAGACATAGTGATTCAGAGTACACTCAACGGTTTTTCTGTTTGAACTTCACTTTTGCATGTTTCATACATACAAGAAGTCCGCAGACAATTCTGGTATACATGGGGTGGAGTAGGCGATGGTGAGATTGGCGTGCGAAGGGTTGTTCACATAATCCTTCATAAACAGCTGGAAGGCTTTTACCCAGGCTGTCACTTTTGCCTTTTCGCTGTCTTTGGGGCCATATTTCACCAATAATGTAATCTCCAAGGATGTTGCGTTGTGATACACCGGGCGTGGAAAGCCAGCTAATACATCTCCTGGAAGAATAGCACCTCCAAAGGCTGCGATACACGTTTCTTGAAGCATTTCTTCCAATGGCGAGGCGGGATACCTAAAAAATAACGTTACCCATTTTCACGAAATGTCGCATAACCT